CACACACACACACACACACACACACACACACACACACACACACACACCTGTTACTGCACTCTTTCCTCAACTCAAAAACTCACTTCAGGACTGACTTTAGGAGCTGCTTGGGTTCATATCATTTAAGGTCTATGTTTCTGCTCACAACACAATATATTTTTCCAACTTGTTGCAATCAACACTTGAATCTTTAAAGAGTGAACAAATAGAACCACGCAATACACTTTAAAAAAACAAAAGATTTACCACCATACCTCAAAGCAGCTGAAATCAGGGTTCATTTGGTGCCTTAAAAAATAAATTACAACAGAACAAGGGGTGAGAGTCTGTGCCAGCTGTGCACTACATTCCTCAGGTTGTACAGATGTCGCCAGACTATTTTGGGAGAAAACAATCTGTCAAAGAAATTGAGATGCAAGTCAGGCTGCATGATGAAAGGAGAACTCGGTTTTCCAAGGTTTAGGAGGCAAAAATCAACCTAAGATAAGAAGGAAGCTATTCCCCTGGTAACCGGCAGCAGGTGGATGCATTGGTGGTGGTGGTGGTGGGGGGGGGGGGGCGCAACACCCTTGAGATGAAGATACATACTCGATTCTGTGAGGTTTCACTAGACACAGGGAGGGAAAAAAAGAAAAAAATGCGACTTCCTAGTTGACATGTGATGTCCGTTTAAAGTTTTTTTTGTCTTTTGTTTTAACTACAACAAATACAGTCACACAATACAACATCCTTCTGACCTGGCGAGGAGAAAAATAAAAAACCAGAGAGAGGAAAAAAAACAACTTCTCAGCCGCAGACGTGCCGAGCAGATTGGAAGGTGGTGCGGCCTGCTGGGGGGGAAATACAAATGACGGGGAGGATGGAGGCGGGACGAAGCGTTCACTTTTTGAGCGGCTGGTAGACGGAGGCGTTGGGGTCGAGGCCGGAGGGATTGGTGTCCATGAACTTGGAGGAGTAGTGGGGGGTCACGGGGCTCATGCTGCCGGTGTCGGCTGTGTAGGAGATGCTGGGCATGACGGCCATCACTTCGGCTATCTTCTGCTTCAGATCTTTTATCTCCTGGTCCTTCTGCAGGATCTGACCTGAATACAGACAACCAACGGTTCAGCATGAGCACGCCTACACATATTGAATAAATACGCCGAGCACGGCAACCAGACCGACCTTGTGCAATCTCCAGCTGTCTCTTGGCGTCTCCCAGCGCAGAGAAGAGGTCCAGTTTGATCCTGGTCTCTGCGCTCAGACTGTTCTCCAGGTGCTGGGTCTTGTCCTGCATGGCTGACAGTGCCGACATCAGCACCTCTGTGTCTTTTTCGTTCTCCTTGTATTTATGAAGCTCCTGCGAGATGGAGAACAGATACAGTTAGGGTTCAGTCAGGAGGGGACTGTCCTGTGATTGGATGCTTTAGCAAAACTGGTGACAGAGCAAATGTGATTCATTGTCATAACTGATGTGAACTCAATTTCATTCAGTGCTGCATGAAGAACAAATGGAGGTTCCCCTGGTACGACCTAGCTCTGGGGCACTAGCACTGGAACAGGGCTCATGACACAGACATACGCTTGTTGGATCTTTTTCTGCACCACTTCTGTCTTTTTGTGAATCTTTGTCACACTTTTTGAGAACTTGCTCACTAGCTATATTTGCGTGCAATGACTAAAGCAGAACTGGCAATGTACACAAGACACCGCGATAGGGTTCACATTTTAGGAACCCAAGCTTCCACGAATCGCTGAGCAGAAACAAAAAGCTTCTGAATAAATTGCTGGAAGTTTGAAATCCCGCGCTGTAACCCGGCTACTGCAGCTAGCATAACAGCATTACACCTGACCAAATGAACAAGACGAGTGCATTTAAACGCAAGAATACCGGAGAAATTTTACTGCGCTTGATGGTGACAGTTCAGATAAACACTTCAAATAATAATAAAATAAATAAAACCTTACCTGAACTTTCACTTCCAGCTCTCTGATCTGGTCCTCCTTTAGCTTGATATCCAATGTTAGTTTCTTACACTCTGTTTCTAATTCAGTGATTCTCCGCCGCAGCGTGTCTGTGCACTCCCCTCTGAAAAAACATATTGGAATTATTACAACAACAGATCACAACTTGAAAGAAACGAGCGACAAGTCAGCGGTGAAATGGTTATAGAAAGCTGCATGTCAGATGAGCCCCTACCTGGACACTGCTGCTAGTGCTACCGCTCTGGCTGCTGTGGCCTCTTCTAACTTCTTTCGCTTCTTTTCGTCTGCGAGCTGTTTCTCGGCGGTGCCTCGGGCCTCCTGCTCTGCTTTGAGCCTCTTCTCCAGTTGCCCCACGGCCTGTTTGTCCTTTTGCTTTGCCTGCACAGCATTATGGAGCCTGCAAGTGCACAGAAAACACACAAATAAACAAGGAGGAAACACTGCTCTCTCCCTACAGTCTTCATTCACGACAATAAGCACCCCCCCAATGACCCAGTTATTAATGATCTAAAATCAAAAAAGGATCCCTTCTGTGACTTTGCTTTAACACAACGAGTAGCGGCCCCGCTCACTTGTTCTGCAGCAGCTCGTTCTCCTGGCGCAGTTGGCCCAGCTCGGTGCGTATGGTGCGCTCAGCGCTGCCCAACGAGCCGATCTGGCTGCGCAGGTCCTGCTCAACCTGCCGGCTGGCCTGCAGGTCTGCCTTCAACTTCTTCACATCCTGCTCCAACCTGTCCCGGGTGGAAGAATGAACAGAGCATGATTTATATACTGGTGTTTCATATATACAGTACTTCAAACCATGTAGGCTGTTGTAGACACATAAATCCAGATATTGTGGCCTAACGGTCCGCCCATGGATTACACACATGTCCCAGACCACGGTAGCAAACAGCTGTCTCAGGAAAGCAGTCCCTGAATTATTAGTGCAGCCAAAGTATGGTCATATTCAAGCCATACAGACGTATAAATAAAACAACGAAAACTACACATTTACTTTATGCTTCCGGGTGTTGCATAAATGGGGTTGGCCTTCATTCTGAATTGAAAGCGGGTTGAAGGAAGCTTCAGAATAATTTCTATGTCCTACTCTGAAGACAGAATATCATCAGTCCCAGTCAAACTCAAAGCATCGTTTCTAAGAGCCTTCATATCTCCTTTGACATTTAAAATGATCTGCCCCCCACCAAACCTACACTAAACACACTTTAACACTTGAAAGATGATCCGTTATTAAATCATAATTCTAATTTGTTTTTTTATCACTCAGCCCAATTAAATGCCAGCAGCAAGAGACCCTCTTAACAACCATCTGTTTGCAATATGTGTTTTCACAACTGAGGATGTCAAACAGATTTCTAGTTTTGTGAGTGAAGAATAACATAAATATTCCCTTAAAAAGAGTTTCAGGTAATGATAAGCCAGAGTAAAGCAGCAAGCGATGCAAACTAAACAACACATATCATGGCTGGAAACTACTGCTAATAGATGAAAAGCTTTGAACTTTAGTATTCCTGTGTGTGCTGGAGAGGAGACGTTTTCCAAACCTTTTTATAGATATTATACTAAATACCATAGGGCTATAGGACACTACAAAACATCACAAGGAACCATCACAGGTCAGCTGTGATGCAGGCTGTGATTTCCTAATGCAGATCTCCTCAGCTCTCAAACATTTGGTACCAGGATCAAGGAAAAAAATGCCACCAGTGCATCTGCATTTGCTCTCAGAATAGTTGTTTTTAGTTAGTATAGTGTAGTCGTAATGAGCATGTGTCTGGATGAACACGTGTCTGGATGAACACATCCGTGTCTGAGCGTGCACTTCTTACCTAACAAGTGCTTCCGGCTTGCTCAGCTGGTTGTTGGGGATGCAGTTGTCGGTGGGATCCCTGTGGGAGCCGCCCGTCGTCCCCTTCCCCACCGCCAGCTTGTGCTTCTTCTCGTTCTTCCCCGAGGAAGAGGAGGATGCCGGCGCGGAGGAGGGCACGCTGCCGTTGGTGGCGCTGTGGCCGCGGGGCGAGGAGTTGAGCGTCGCGGCGTTGCTGCTGGCGTTTTTGTAGTTTTTGGAGGAGGACGAGGACGAGGAGGAGCAAGAGGAATTGTTGTCCTCTTTGAGCAACAGGTTCTCTGTGCTGCCCAGCTCTGTGGTCAGTCTCTTGTTGTTCATATGGTTCTCCATATACTCCATCTCTTGGAGTTTAGAGTCCACTGACGATGGCAGGATGCTGTTGTGCTGCTTTTTAGCCTCCCCGCCGCCGCCCTTTCCCTCTTTCCCTTTTTCCCTATACTCTAACTCCGGCAGTGCTGCCGATGTCTTTTTATTGGCTGGGGCGCCATTCTGTGACACTGGAGGTGTGTCTACTTCAGATATTCCTTTAGCTGCTGCTGCTGCTGCTGCTGCTGCTGCTGCTACATGAATAACAGGGGGAAGTGAAGGAGATTTTCATTATTTATGAACCATGACTTTATGTAAGCAATGTGAGCAGCGACTATGAGGAGTCACACGTTGGTTGGTTAAGTGCTACTTGAGTGAAATGACCTGACTTTGCCTATCACTGCACAACAAAACCACACAGCTGCGTTGCATTTCAAGTGATCTTTTTTTCTGGTATTGGTTGGCTGGTGGAAAATCTTTTTTCCAGCTGCAATTTTGACAATCCTCCACTAACGTCTTGCTCTGCGAGCTCCATTCAAATCTTTGCCTAATCCCACCCAATGAGCAGAGCCTCCTGATCATTATGTGCGTGGTGTTTATTTAAACTGTGAGGCAGGTACACCTTCAACCACAGTCTTTGGCTAGGGAGGCAAATGTACGTTGGACAAGACTCGTTACAAACCAACACAAACTTGATACAAGCCTGGTTGTGATTGAAAAGACAGTACCACTTCCAGGTTCCATGTTTATTGCCAAAATCCATTAAATCATATGAAGAGGACTCAAAATACCTTAGAAAGCGTTTCTCCTGGACTTAAATGAATCAAATAATGTGATGTATTTTGTCCTAGTAGATAGTGTATGCGAGTCTCACATTTCCTGACACACACACACACACACGTACTGTATGTGTGTTTGATTCTTACCGTCCTCTGCCTCTCGCTCTTGCCTCTGGAGCATCTGTTGCTCTGGAGGCAGGGCCTGCTGTAGAAGCTGCATGTAAAACTCATTCTCCTTCTGTACCTCCTTCTGCTTCCGAAGGCGCATCTTATAGCTCACGTAGCTCTTGAAGCCGAAGCCCAGCGTGACCACTGGGTAGCCAATGCTACGGAGATGGACACAAGAAGTACACTCATAAGTGTACTGTTGGGTAGTGTGATCCCATCCCAGGATGGTCTCTAGTTATTGGGATGTTAACGGCTCAACTTCACGGTATAACACAGGTTAGCACAGACAAAATCAGCTTGAAGCTCTTCGGGGTTCATGTCTCTCATAGCCTAAACTGTAGAGGTGCTACTTTAAACCTCTTTCAGGATTGTTATTAAATATGTAGAGTCTTGGGGAGAATCCAAGTGAAACATCAGACCCGTTCCTACTTGTACCATAAGGCATATTTAAGTGCATGTATTCTTTAAGCTCCACCTGATTTAAACAGAACAGTGGCTCACCAGTGTGCAGCAAAAGGACGACACAAGTCCACGTGGAAATTCTTCAGGTCTTTGAATCTGACGGCCGCCTCTATGTACACAAAGAGTATCCATAGAGACACGGTGGGGAGACAGACACCTCTCTCTGAAACAACAATGCAGGACAAAGATGTTAGGAATGGGCATTGAACATCACTAGGAGGACTACCTGAATTGTGTGTCCATTGCAATGAGAACCAAAAACTGGCAAAGTTGGAACCGAGTGCTTGGTCATTGTTTACTTATTCTTCCATAATCATTTAAATCTTTGTTTTATGTTGTATTCAGGAAACATTTTGAGGAAATATAGACACAAATACAGCTGACTTAGCCCCAGTGAGCACCAGATGATGTGGCAACCAATTTCACATCATCCCACTCCCACATGCATCCATAAACAGTCAATGCAAAGCACCTTGTGAATGTTGATGCATAGAAATGAGCTGCTGGTCAATTTAAGGTGAATCACGGCAACTACCAAGAAAAGTTTTGTTTTACACAGAAGATCAGCTGTTTCTGGATGAAGGGATCCCTGAACACTCGTTCCCTTGTAATTCTTTGAATTACGCAGTACTAACAACTTCGGTGCCAGAGTATCTATCGTGCAGCATTACACAGTACCAGTGTCACCGCAGTATTTATGTTTGTAGCATTCAGACCAATTGCTAATAAAGTCGTGTGCACCGCAGCGATTTTACTCACAAATACTACATGAAAACCAAGATCGTACTTGGAGATATATGCAGAGTATTAGAAGATTATTGATTTGTTCTGCAGTTCTTTAACACTAGTTGACTTTATCTTACAAATGATGATAATTTCATCAGCTGCTCCACAGCTGACCACAAGTGTTGGTAGTTTGGCCCTCTCCTCTGCGCTAAAGACAGCAGCTAGCGCTGTGTAAAGATTAAGCAAAATTCAATTCAAAAAGGTGTGAGTTGGTTTATATATTTTACAAATGAAAAAGTGCTTATGGAATAGTTATAGCTAACTAGTACACGCACAAATAACACTGCTGGTTTGAATTCTTATGATAAAGAGGATCTATAAGTGCAACGTAACGTGTGATATGAAGTGAAGTTAAAAGTGTTAGAGGCATCATTATACGTGAAATGATGCCGCTCACATAGTCTGGCTTTAATTCACTTTAATTCACCACCTCACCATCTGCATCGCCACTTTCCCGTGCCTCCAAAATGTTCGTATGCATGAGTCAGCGTTTCCGTGCAGGTGCACACATTCTCCCGTCAACTTTGTTTTTATGGACCATTACTTTCGCGTGGGAAGTGGCACGCGCCTCTTTTAGGCCCTATTTTGTGCATACAAGTGAGACCCCTGATGAACACAGACCTGTGTAGACCATCATTCTACACAAATCTTTAACTTCCCTACACCTTACTTGATTCTTTATGGACCCACCATTATCACTGAACACACTGGGTGGTGGGAACACAGACACTACCCCCATAGTCTCCTTGAATGCAATAAACAGCGAGAACATTTCCCCAGCAGGCTGTGGAGGGGTAAGAGATATTAATACTACAGTGAATATCACTGGGGAGTAAAGTTGGAGGGCTCAGAAAGCGACTGGGAACCACCGTGCTGCTCCCTCCCCCAATTGGCACTAGGATTTCCATCTGACACCTGGCCTTTGGTCAACGCAGGGGGATACTGCTAAATCAGACTGACAGCTAATCCGCAGAGTGCAGCTCACTTACACAACATGCAAAATTCTAAGAAGCAAGTCTATTTGTAAAAAAAACACAACACAATGTGCATGGGAACTGCACAACTCTTTTCACACCTGGTTTTCCCCCCGAAGCACAAAGTGGAAGAACAAAACCAAATAGTGCCAGTTCTAAGAATGTGTGTGTGGTCTGTGACTTGAAAGAATGATCTATCTCAGCCCATCTTGTAAATACACAGATGGCTTCTTCCTTCCTTATTTTTTGAGTTGTTAAACAGAAATAATCTAGACACAAATGAGAGGAATGTTAAGAGCGAGTGCCCTGTTAATCACAGACATTATCCAGAGTTTATACCAACAAATATCAAGACACCTATACGTGGGAGGGCCTTACCTGTGTGCCAAACATACTGCACCCAGACATAAGTACTGGCAGCGAAGAATAGCCATTGCACTGGGATGAATAGGAGGCAAATGATGTCCGAAGTAAACGCCACACACACAAAGAATACTGAGAAGGCCTGTAGGAGAGAGGAGACGTGGTTATGATCATGATAAACCAGCAACATATGCAGCAAGGACAGATGTAGGTGCTGGAAACCTAAAACATTGTCTTAAAAAGAAAAAAGGAAACGCTTTAAGGCTAACAACAAGCCTTAAGATGTTAAGACACCTGTTCACAGAAGGGCTGGCTACCAAATCTTAATCCGCTATAATGGGAGTGATCTCGTTCTGGGTGATGCAACTCTACGTTTCATTGTTGAATTATAGCACCATGAATGGTTCTGCGAATATTACATTTTTGTTTCTCCTTTTCTGCATCGCCGTGAGACACAAACACACAAACACACACACACACCTACACAATGCATTTCAATGAGAACACGCTGTACAGCATCAACAATGGACAGCCACGGCAAAATGAAACAATGGTAGATTAACATTATCGTACAAAATTTAGATAACAGGAACACTCATAACTTGCAAGCCTGATCAAATCTGACAGATGACCTTGTTTGCTGCCTCACAGCATCAGAACTCTAAAGACTGACTGAAAGATAAAACATCTTTGAATCAAAGCTGACATATGTTAAGTTTATATCTGATACATAACACTAAAGCAATAAGTTATTTACATTTAGGTCGAAGCATTTCTACAGAAGATGCAGTGAAACTACGGGTTCTGTAGTGTGAGAGACACTTCACTTTGTGCATGTGTCGGCAAATAAACATTTGTGGTAAATGACAAACAGTGGTTAGACTTTTGATCTTTCAGGTTGAGCCTGATTTTGGATCCAATTACTTTGGACACAAAGATGCACTACTATGTGTACTAATGTTTCCTTTCATCTCACCACACTGCTATCTAGCTACTGTTACCTGCTTCTTGGTCACATGACATTAAGAAATCAAGTTACTGCAGGAGGGCCACAATGACCTGGTTACTAAATTTCACATGTAAATGCAGAGACTGTGACAGCAACACTATGGTGCTGATAATCTAAGTCTGTCTGCACTTGCTTGTTTTAGTGCAATATCTAAAAACAAAAAATGACTATGTTCTTTTGTCACCTATAGGGAATCATAATAAATATAAGGACACAGCCACTCACCAGCCCCTGGTATCTAAAGGAGTCGTATACACTCCGGATGAAGAGCCAGAATGGCCAGAGGTACTCAAACCTGAACTCCAGTACAAAGTCTGCAAGTAGCACCAGTGCCCACACCACCAGGAACTTCAGGTACAGGAAGGTACTGAAAACGATAAGAAACATTTGATGACACAAAATGTTTTGCTACTTTATATTGGCAATGATGATTTGTGTTAACAAGAATGGGACTCATATTTAACAGTCAATATGTGGCAAACCATCAGTCAACACATCAAAAGAGATTCTGCTTTATTATAAATGTGTGTGTGTGTGTGTGAGAGAATCAAGTGAAGGTTGCATGTCTGGCACCTGTTGCTGCTGTTCAACAGATGAAATGCCTGTGTGCATTGCACTTATTATAAGTGGCTGATGTTATAAAATGCAACTGCATGCATATATATATATATATATATATATATATATATATAGAACATGTACGCAGAAATGAGAAGACATTCTGGAGGAGGTCCACGTACATAATGTGGCGTGTTCTTCTGTGATGATGCTTTGAACATTTGGACGTGGCAACCGTGCCAAACTACGGTATATACTTTTCTCAAGTGTTGTGGGCATTACATTTACTCACAGAATGTGTTCATTTATTGCTGCTTCTTTCCTAGTGTCACAATTCAAATTTGATATAATAGATACATTTGATCACAGTTGACATTTTTGTGACACAGTAGGGGTGTCCTTTGATCTCAAAGCATGGCCGTTTTGTGATGGGTCAGCTGCTCAATAATTCAAGTACTGCCCCACATCTCTACGTCTGGATGCCACGTGTGAGACTAGGTGCCTCTAATGTTTGGTCTATCAGATACATGGGATGTCACATAGATCTAACTGTTCGGACCTGTCAGGTGTGGCTGTGAAGGACAACTAAGCAACTTTTAAGTTGCCTGAATAGCGAAACACGAGGTCTTCAGAAGTCAGACAAACTGCCTTCAGTCAACTCGTGTTTACAGTGAACGTTAGCATATGTTACGCCTTTACTGGATAGGTAAGGCGCATGTGGTGAGGTGAGAAATAATCAGACATAGCTGGAGTTGTGCTAGCTAACATAAGTTACCCTAACTAACAGGGAAGCTGCTAAGTTTGACACGGCTAGCAGGTGACAACTGACGTGAGCAGACGGTAGATAGTCAGTGTTGTTGAATAAGTGTCGAAGGACACCGTGCAGCTTATTATAAACAGTAACGCTGCTATGAAAGAGACCTTGTGACATGGTGCAAAACAGGCTGTTTTGGGGCCTAGCGCTACGACTAGCTTAACAGCTAACGTTACCTGTTTATGTACGAAAACAACCCGCTAGCATACACTATGCTACCACTAGAAGCTAGCTAGGCTAACAAGCTAGCTAGCGTTGGCAGTCCATTGATATCAGTAGTGACGTTAGGAAGCTTCACATTCTGCAGCTATCAAGCGGCAAACACCCCCATTCATTGCCCCCCATTGTTGTCGTGAGGAGGACCCCTCCGTCGGGCTGCACATAAGTTACCTGCCGTATATACCCTCAGTGATTCGGTTCCGTTTTAACGGCCGTCGGAGTTTGCTGCAGTCCGCATTGCGCCGCTTCATCCTCCTCCCCTTGGCTTTGGCCTTCGAGTAACCACTGTAATCTTATCCAGTTTTCTTGTGTATACGGACAAATATAATAAATGAAGTGCCTGCGGTATATGTCGCTGTTATTATTTCCCCCCAGTGGAAACAAAGAAATAAATAAAGGACTCTATTCGGGAACCTCCTCTTTTTCTGTTAGCGCAGACTCAATAAGCCCAGACCGTGCTGTGTTTTACGTGCGTCCACTTGTCAGACGGCTGGTATATCCAATCAATTCTATCCGCCGAGGCCTATCTCTTTGACGGATCCAGAGATGAGCCATTGACGTTGCACCGTGGCCGGTCGCTCAGGTATCTTACGCCAAAGAGAACAGAGGAGCGCGAGGGTGGGATGCTGTGTATGGAACGTCTCCCCGTAACCAATCAGATTGTTGTGGACTAATCGGTCATCGCTGATTGACCAATGAGCTGATCGCGGAGGCGGGTTTTGTTCTTAGAGGTTTTTGCCTTCGGTTTATTATAGGCAGAAAATATGCAGTTTTTGGGACAAAATTCCCTTTGTGCGAGATACAAAACAGCCCTTCCAGCATACGAGGGTTATTTATATCAGTCCCTTTGTTTGTGGTTCATTGACAGACCTGCCCCAAGGCCTTGTGCGCAATCTATGTTTTACAGCTTGAAATATGTGCGTGTAGTGGAACGCGCGCAGGTGCGTTTGACTGAAAGTGTGGCTTGCAGTTGCCGTTGCTTTTTATGTGATGAACTTTGCCCCTAGATTTTTGTTTACCATTGCCTTCATGACCAAAACAGCGTGGCATTATAAATATGTACGATGAAGAGGGTTATTTTTAAAGATGTATGGCCAAATAGTGTATACAAATACAATTGACAACTACTGCTGTGCGATCTGTAGTATTTCATGTCCTACATATTTTGGAGTGTCAATTAGCCAATTAATGCTAATTCTCTCGATATCGTCTATATACGGTACTATTATAGGCTAATAATGCTGCATTTTAGTCTGTTCCTCTTCTTGAAAACAACATTTTTAGTAGCAAAAATTACTTAAATTCAACATTCATACATAGTTATCTTTCATGACCTCAATCCATTTGTAATTTTTCTAAGGGGCTGCATTGTTTGCTGCCTGTCTGACATGACTAAATTGTTTTTCTTTACGCATCAAAATACATTTCACTAATGACCAGTCATTGCCTGGGTCCAGCCCTTTGAATCAACCCACTCCACCGAGTTGTAACATGTTTACGATTCTGTCCGATATCAGGCAAGGCTTGTCAGTCAAAGACCAGTTCTTGCCAAGCAGCTGATAAATACGAAAAGATGTGCATGTGTTTAGGGTTGCGCCCTGCTCAAAGCGCTGGGGCTTACACTTGCATCAGTTGGAAGAGCAGTGCGTAGGGAACGTCTCCAATGGCTCCTCAGTACGCACCGAGTCTGCGATCCCGTCTGGCACCTTTGCTGCTTTTTCTGCAGATAGGCTTCATAGTCATATATGCCGTTTACGTTGAGATCGAAAGCAATATAAAAGCATATGGGACTACCTTCAGCAGCTTTTACGCAGGTAGGCCTAAGTAGTGAGTTTGGATGGGGAGGGGGTTGAAAGGTGAATAACCAATCAAGGAAACATCATTTGAAAACTATAGGTTAAAAAGCAAAATAATTACTAGGATCCATGAGTATGGGGAGTGGCTGCAGTTGTTAGGCAGTGATAAGATCAAACAGCTGCTGGTTCTTTAGGGTTGTCTTTTGACAATTGGTTTCACTGAAACACAGCAGGAGTGACCATTGTACAGAACTGAATTGTGATCCAAGTATTTGAGAGTTTTTTTGTAAAGCCTATACTATTTCCTTTATTTTGCAGAGTTCCAGGATGTGAACGTGATGGTGATTCTAGGTTTCGGCTTCTTGTGCACTTTTCTAGTGCGATACAGTTACAGTGCCTCTGGATTCAACCTTCTTGTAGCTGTCATGGCCACTCAATGGGCTATCATACTCAATGGAATTGAATCCTGGTATTACAGAGGAAAGATCAGGGCAGATTTGAGAAGGTATGTCACCGGCTGAGGCAGTCATTTTCTCACTTTTTTAATTTGATGTCACACATCTATTTGAGCAGAATACATTTGTCCCAGTATCTACAGATTGTATAGCGAAATAAAATGGCACCTGATTGAACAGAGATGTATCAAACGACAACAATAAAATTCAGAAAATACTATAAATACACATTTCACAGATCTAATATTTAAGTTAATATTTTGATATAGCTTAGTGATTGCTGAGATGTGTACAGCCTCGGCCCTTATTTCAATTGGAGCCGTGCAGGGGAAGACCAACCCTGTCCACCTCGTCCTCATCGCCCTGCTGGAGGTGTCAGGCTTTGTCCTGAATGAGTGGCTCCTCCAGACTCTGCTGAAGGTGAGCTGTCAATCCTGTGTTTCACCTTTGCCTCAGTTCTTCAGGCCCTGTGCATTCCCTTCATACATAATGCAGCACATAGACATTTGCTTATTTAAACACGAGTTCCTTGACATTCTGGAAAGCATCCATTGGAGACAGAGATGAGGACAAGGGAGTAGAAGATGATAGATCTGGGTTTGAGGTCTTGACCTTAACCGGTTGCACAGTGGGTACACCTGTTTTCTAACTCTAGGTCCCGGCAGTGAACAGCATCATGTTGCTTCACATCTTCGGGGCCTTCTTTGGACTCGCGCTGACCTGGATCCTGTTTCGGAAAGGATCCCTGCAGCCTTTCGAAAAAGAGAAATTTGACCGCCAAACAGGATTATTCTCCATGTTGGGTAAGGCGTAGGCTATGTTTTTCTGATGTTGCTGCTAGATTGGGGGTTTTTTGTTGGATGGCGCAGCAAATGGGATTGTTCAACTGGAGATTTAAGTTCAAACCCTGCGTTAGTCAGAATCCACCTTGTTAACGAAGAATCTGAATCCAATGTTCTCCATTCTCCAGGGTCTGTGTTGCTCTGGATGTTTTGGCCCAGTTTTAATTCAGTCCTTGTGGACAATCACAGTCCTGGGAGGAAGCTGGGGGCCGTGTGTAGCACCTACCTGGCCCTGGCTGTCAGTGCTGTAACAGCAGCTGCTGTGTCTGCGCTCTCCAGCCCTAAAGGAAAACTCAACCCGGTATTCTAACACTTGATGTGATAACGCAACATCTTTCTCTTCCATGAACAGAGTCGTGATTACTTCATAATGGGGCGTATATCTCCTCTCCTCTGTCAGATCCATATGCAGTCATGCATCCTCGCTGGCGGTGTTGCTGTCGGGGTTTCCATGTCAGTGGTTCATCAGCCATGGGAAGCCATGACAATCGGATTCACTGCGGCTGTTGTATCAACCATTGGACTGAAATATCTCAAGGTGATGATCACCACCACCACGTACTCCTGAAGTAAGTCATCTGTACGTCACAGCTCATCATAAGATCTTGTTTTTCCAGACGCACATGCTGCTGGCATTCGAGTGCCATGACACCTGTGCTGTCCTGAGCACACACGGACTCCCTGGTCTACTGGGATGGCTGGCACATCTCCTGCTACAGATAAAAGCCGGCGACGATCACACAACGTAAGAACGCAACTCTCAATCGAATTGCATCGCAACACACACACAAAAGGATGCGACGCCCTGTGTAATTGGTGCTTTGTTTCGTAGGGCTATCCGGTTTGCTGTAATTCACATTTGTACTCTCCTGATCACCATCAGTCTAAGTCTGTCCATGGGAATCATTACAGGTAAGTCTTCTCTCTAGTAAGGTTTCCATTATCAACAGTCTGGCACAATCAAACCGGAAGACAGAAGGTCCATTCTTAATTATTCAGTCACAACAGAATGCCTTCAACAGTGAAATTTGACCCAACGCATGTCCTACTTTAGGTTTTCTGTGTTTTAGTGAAATGCAGAGGTCCCCTCTCTTTATAGTGCGTAACAATTTACAGGTTGACAACCACAGAGGTATCTACACTGTATTGTGCAGTAACTTGCCATTTGTAAGCTTTCCTCATTTCTTTTTATGTTATTGTTTAAAGGGCTCCTACTCAAGTGGAACTTCTGGAGACCGCCTCAAGACAAGAAATGTTTTGATGACCAGGCTTTCTGGGAGGTAGGCAATCAATACTCTATCTTCTTAAAACAAATATCGAGCTGAACATAATTCTATATCTGCACCGAAAATTATCAATTATTATCAAGAATGATACTAAACAGTAATGGACTTGATATTGTATTGTGCCATGCCATAAAATCCTAAATTAGCATTGTGCAAAAATATTTTCCTGTTTCATGCAGTTTCCCCATCTTGCCGTGAAGAAGTAAGAGGACGGAGAAAGAAGCGGATCCTGGAAGAACACACAATTTCTGGTGTTCATTCATGTCAGTGTACATCATTTCATACAGTTTCTTACCCTCATGAACAGTAGCTATTAGATGTTTTTATGAGTGAAAGACTGGGATACATAAAATAAAGAAATCTAGCCCAGAACTGTGGAAGCATGAATGCAAGACTCATTTTCTGCCGGTATGTCTCTGTTTAATGCTGCCATGGTCGTCAGAAACTGACCTCATGGTTCGGATGTTACACAAGCAGGTGGGTGAGTGTTATAATACAAATCTCCAGTACGTGTACAACAACCTAGAGTTGTCAAACCGTTGTCGACATCATGTCAGCAGTGTGAGCTAATTAACCGTCAACAATAAGTCTGGATGACTGCAAAGCGCCAGAGCTGACGTATTGTTATTTCAGGAAACACACAAACACACTCTATATGGTTACATTCAGTAAATGTTTACTGTATTATGAAATATTGCCCTCAAAGATATTTTGTAATAATTTATGATGTTTCCACTTAAAAAGACTGTTCAAATTAAAGGATGCTGTAAAATTAAAGTATACCCAAAGGAAAAGTGGACAGTTCAGAGATGTAAAGCTTCCAAAATACATTTTGTTTTACAGAAATTATAACATGGCTACACAGTCCGAGTGCAAATACACACATTTAAATATGTTGTGCCACATTTGAAAATATTCTTTTGAGGAAACTATGAAAACTTGTGCTTGGTTATGATCTAGCCAGAATAACAGCAAACATAAAATAAAAATATTACATTGAAAGCTAAAAAGGGTGTTTGTATAAAGTGAATAACCACTAAAGCATCTCGTCTCATACGATATAGAAAGCAGAGTGTATAAACAGTGGACGTGAAGACACACAGAGTCCATTACTGCCACAGATCCTCTGTACGTCCAAACTTGAAGACCAAACCCCTAAAATCAGAGGACAAGAAGACGGTACGAGACAAATATGTCCACAAAACACCTTAGCTGACATGTAAGCATGAGTTTGATGCTGAGGACCGATAACTTACCCAAAGAAAATGAACGCATTCTGGAAGAAAATGGCAATGCCCGGGTACACGACAGGCTTTTCTGCAAGAGACAACAGATTTACAGCTTTCAAAATGAGGCCGCATTTACATGTTGACAGAGCACCACATTTAGTAAATGAAGAGCTGTTCATGATTGGACTGTGCAGCATTTTGCTTGCTGTATACAATACATGTCAATGAAGTTACAGCATGACTGACTTACGAGGCACTACGAATCCTCCAAACAGAATCCACATAGAGGCGATGAGGGAGCCGAACGCCAGCATGAAGCCGATGAAGAGCCACACTCGAGCGCCTGCAGAGCAGAGATAAGAAAGGGTGCGTTACTTTATTTGGGTTTGTACTTTACTGCATGTATGTCGTAGCGGTGGAACAAGAAAACGGTTTAAAATTAGGGCGCAAGTACTGTCGAAACCAGATGTGGCGGTATTAAATACCCAGTGAGGAAAACATCAGTATAAATAGGAAAGTATGATACAGCAGTATAGAGAAGTTCATCATATCCTATCATACACACCCGTCTGTCCAATGCAGCCCTCGCTGTAGCTGTCTCCTCTCACTTGGCCATTTGAAACAGCGTTTACCCTGGATGTGTCCAATGAGATGATCAAAAAAACAATCATTACAAAACATGTCCGAAGCTACTTTTACCCGCTTGGTTATGTTGACAGACCCCCATGGTAATAAGTGGGTACGATAAGTAGCCTGTTCCTTAAGACAGTAACAAGGATTAAGCATATTATGAAGGCCTCAACTCACAAACTGGAGCATCTAACGAGCGGTGACACAGCAATACGACCAAAACATTACCATCACCGGGTCCACTTACTTGGTGTTTCAGAAGCTCGACACTTAGGTCACATGACAGCAGCTATAGCATCTCTGTGGCAAATTGAGCGACTCCAGGAAAAAGAGGCCTCGAGATGTGGCTTACAGCTTAAGAAACACCAAATAACCGAAACTTGTGATGAGACCGTTTGGTCACACTGGAGAATCAAACATTTCCTGTGACAGAATCAGTGTGCAGAGAGTCGGTCTCACATGAGAAAGGCCACTGTAGCGATGACTCCACACGTGTGATAGGCATGATGGAACTGGCCTTCATCGGGATATTTCACCGCAGCGTCGATGATGATCCACCAGCCAGTGAAGAACTAGAACAAGATCACACAGTTAGCCCGAGGACTTCCACCGTTATTAGGAACTTGACTGTCAACAAATGTGTAAGAAATCTGCATCCTGGCCATTTAAATCAGGAACCCACAGCTCCCCATACAGTAAGAATTAGTAACTACAGACAAACGCAGACCAGGAAGACAAATCAGTGTAGCCTGTGCTATGTGCATCTGCCTTTATAACTGACACCATCGGGGTACTACCAGAACTCCAGCGGCTACAGATGCAATGGTGTTTCTTCTTTCTCCCCAGTCCACATTGCACTCGCAGTCTCCGCACCGGATTCCGTCCAGGAAACCTGACATGACTCTGTGAAAGGGCATCACGGTCAACAATGCGTGAAAACAACATCAAAAGCTCACAAATGTTTATTTTTT